TTTTTTTCAAGCGTCTAATCTTTTGTGTACCTCCCTCATAGATTTAAGATTGTTTCTACTCTGAGAAGAGGGGTAATATCGCCAAATCATTTGCCAGTGTTTCGCCCTGCTGCTGCTGCAATCCACAAACACATTGATCGCAAAGAAAAGGTTTTTCAGCTTTCTCGAAGTCTCTGTTTTGGAGAGAGGAGGCCTTGATCGTCGATGATCACGAGAACCTGGTCGCATCACTGCTGCTGATAGCGGTCACCACCACCGCCACAGTTCTCCCCTTCGATGACCGTCAGGATGAACTCGCTCGGACACCTCGACAACTCGGACGCTGGTGCCCATCACGACGTGGTGATGCTCGGGGCCGGACAACAGCTTCGTTTCGGCGGGGCCAACAACAACAGTGCCCAGGACGGTCACAGCAACAATAATAACAACAGCAACAACAACAACGACGACAACGAGAACAACAACGATGACTCGGAGGACTCTGAGGACGACCAGTCGCGGCCGGGCTGGACGCAGAAGCCCTACAACTGGTTCTACGAGAAGGCCGAGCTGCGGCGGACGCCCTCCATTCAGGACGGCATCAGCTACGACCGGGAGCGGCGGTACCGCGCCGAGGGCGCCCGCTTCATCCTCGACGCGGGCAATAAGATGAGCCTGCACTACACCACCTACGCCACCGGGGTGGTCTACTTTCACCGCTTCTACATGTTCCACTCCTTCCGGGTCTTTCCGCGCTACGTCACCGCCGCCTGCTGTCTCTTCCTGGCGGGAAAGGCGGAGGAGACGCCGAAGAAGTGCAAGGACATCATCAAGTGGGCGAAGACGCTGCTCACCGAGAGCCAGTTTGCCACCTTCGGCGAGGATCCGAAGGAGGAGGTGCTGACGATGGAACGGATCATCCTCCAGACGATTCGCTTCGACCTGCAGGTGGAGCACCCCTACAAGTTTCTGATGAGCTACGCGACGCGCTTCAAGGGCAACAAGGAGAAGATCAACCACATTCTGCAGATGGCCTGGACCTTCACCAATGACAGGTAGGACTGTGTTTTGTCTTTTAAGAAAAAGAAATATCACAACGTTGTCAACTTTGTTTTCAGTCTGAGCACCACCATCTGCCTGCAGTGGGAGCCGGAGATTATCGCCATCTCGATGATCTTCCTCTCCAGCAAGATCAAGTACGAGATCACCGACTGGGAGGGGCGGCTGCCCTCGCAGAAGCACTGGTGGGACATCTACGTGGAGGACCTCACCGTGGAGATGCTGGAGGACGTCTGCCACCAGGTGCTGGACATCTACTCGAAGCCGCGCAATGAGGCGCCGAAGGACTCGCCGCCGATGAGTCCGCTCTCCAAGCGGCCCGCTCCGGTGGGCGCCGGCGCTCTGCCGGTCATTGCCGGACAGCAGCAGCAGCCCAGTCCGTCAAAGAGGCCCAATACACAGCCGCCACCACCACCGCCGCCTCCTCCTCCTCCACCACCGCCTCCACCTCCGCCGCCGCCAATGACAGCTCCTCCGCCGGCGATTCCACCGTCTTTGTTAGTGGTCCCGGGCATGATTCCGGGCTTTCCGCCGGCAGTGGTGAACGGCGGTGCTCCGATGGTGGTGGGACAGCCTCCTCCACCGCCACTACCACCCTCCATTGCCGCCCCACCGCAAATGGCCTGGACGGACGCCACCTTCTTTGGCCTGGCTTCTGGAGGACCGCTACCACCATCACAACAGCCTCCTCTTCCCTTTCCTCCCTTTCCTCCCGGTACTGCCCCTCCTCCCCCTCCCCCTTCTCTTTCTTCCTCCAACAGCTCCTCAAAGTGGAACAGATCGAGATAGCCAATTACCACCTAACCTAACCATCCCTTCTCTTCCCTTCTCATCATTCATCTTTTCCCACCAGTGTCAAGCGCAAGTAACCCACTGGTTCCAAGCATCTTGCCTCATCTGGAGCTTCCTCCGCGTTTGCCGCTGGAGCTTCTCTGTGCTCGTCTTCCTCCTACTTCTCAAGGAACAATGCTACCGCCACGTCCGCCTGGAATGCCACCCCCGATCGTGTCATCCTCCTCCTCTTCCTTTTCTTCATCCAACGCCTACTCCTCCAACTCCTACTCTTCTAACTCACAGCAGTCCTATGAAGGCCCTCGAGGAGGCCGAGGAGGCCGCTTCTACAATTCGAATCGCAGCCGAAGCGGTTCCAAATCACACCATCATCAGCAGCATCACCATCAGCATCAGCAGTCGTACCACCGGGGTGGTCGTCGAAAGTAAACAGCCCCCAATGTGTTTCTCTTTCCAGTCTCTTTCCCCTAAGTTGTCTCTGTGTTGACCTCTCTCTCGTTTTTTCTGTTGTTTTGCTCCACACACACACAATTCTGACTCTCGAAATCAATCAATTACATTTGATATTTAACTTTTTGATCGGCGGATTTGACTGTAAAATTGATCCACCTAATTCTGTTGACTGTGACTTTTGAGCCAAAGATGACTGTTGTGGCGTTGTATCTGCTCCTTGCAAAGTGAAATTCATGAACTCCCATCCCCTCTTTTGTACATAAAAATCATCTCCTTATTCTGTAAAATCCACTTCATCCTATTCTGTACAGTCCTTTGCTAACCGACTAATTATTTTTGGATGTAATTAAAGAGAATCCTCATGTTATTTTGTCAATTTCTGAAAANCATGAACTCCCATCCCCTCTTTTGTACATAAAAATCATCTCCTTATTCTGTAAAATCCACTTCATCCTATTCTGTACAGTCCTTTGCTAACCGACTAATTATTTTTGGATGTAATTAAAGAGAATCCTCATGTTATTTTGTCAATTTCTGAAAAAAAACAAATCTGCTTTGAAATTCGCATATGACGTGCACTTTGATAATTTTTTATTTGTTCAAATCCACTTGGACGTGTTCACTTGTTGGCGTCACTTGGTGATAGAAGCTCAAAGTAATTGTGTTGTTATCACTCAAAAAGACAAATCTAAAATGGCGGCTATATTCCGAGCCTACAACCGAATCATGGTCAAGCAGCCTTTCCTCACGCAATGTGTCACCTGTGGTAAGAGTGTTACCGTTTGTTTACATTCCTTTTCTTTGCACCAGAACCTAACTAAAACATCTTTTGTTTTGCAGGACTTTTAGTCGCCTCCGGTGATGTCATCTCGCAGAAGGTGATTGAAAATCAGCCTCAGCTGAACATTGAGCGAACGGTCAAGTTTGCCGCCTTTGGACTGCTGTACATTGTATGATTTCACAGATGTTTTTTGCTGCTTCGAGACTAATTTCTATTATTTTCAAAGGGACCAGCAATTTCTATTTGGTATCGCTTCCTCGATCGCTCCTTTGGCGTCAAGAAGTTTCTCCTCAAGCCCTGGCAGAAGGTCATTGCTGATCAGGTTAGTTGTTGTTATATGATTTAGAAGAATCTTTGAATCACAAAATCTCTTCTTTCCTTCTCAGACCATCTTCAGTCCGCAGATCAATCTGCTGGCTATTCCAGTGCTCGGGCTGCTCAACAGCAACAGTCTGGAGCAGATGAAGGACAATGTGCGGAACAACTACGTGGACATTATGATTGCCAACTACAAAATATGGCCAGCCGTGCAGATGGTCAACTTCTATTTGGTGCCGCTGAATTACCGGTAAGCAGATGATAACAAGTTACTCAAACGATTGTNGCGGAACAACTACGTGGACATTATGATTGCCAACTACAAAATATGGCCAGTCGTGCAGATGGTCAACTTTTACCTGGTGCCGCTGAATTACCGGTAAGCAGATGATAACAAGTTACTCAAACGATTGTTCAACATTTCCGCTTTTTCTTTTTTCAGCGTCGTATTTGCGTCCTTCTTCTCGCTCATCTGGAACACGTACTACACCTGGAAAATGGGCGAAAAGACGACAGCTGCGGCAGCGATGACAAAAGAAAATTAATTCCCTCCCCTGTGATCATTACCTTACCTTTTTTATTTAGGACCTCCATTTGTATCATTAATTGCTCTATCTTTTCTGTCTAATAATCCTGCTCAACAAAAAATCAATCAACTGCTCAATTCTAAATGATGATCACCAAATGAGAGTTAATTGAGATTTGTCACGAAAGGAGAGAAAANCTGGAAAATGGGCGAAAAGACGACAGCTGCGGCAGCGATGACAAAAGAAAATTAATTCCCTCCCCTGTGATCATTACCTTACCTTTTTTATTTAGGACCTCCATTTGTATCATTAATTGCTCTATCTTTTCTGTCTAATAATCCTGCTCAACAAAAAATCAATCAACTGCTCAATTCTAAATGATGATCACCAAATGAGAGTTAATTGAGATTTGTCACGAAAGGAGAGAAAAAAAGAAAGTGCCGAAGACTTGACAGCGAAATTGAACTTTTTCTAAGCACAAACAAACTATCTGGTCATCCCCATCAACTAAAAAATGGCCCAAAAACCAATGGAAAGTGGTGCAAAGGGCAAATGCCTTCGGAACATCTCTCCGGCCTTTGCATCCATGGTAAGTGGACATTTGTTGAGCTGAGGAATAGAGGCAAAAGAGGGCAGTCAAGTCGAGCGTAGTGTACCTGACTTCTAGCAATCAAATCTTTTGATCCAACAACAAATCTAATGTTGCCTGGCAGACGAGCTGTCCCTTCTCCAAAACTTCCTACGTCCGCATCAACATGCTGGAGAGCTTCGTCAAGTCGCGGAAGCTGCTGGCGCCGGGCAAGGGCGACGTGCCCGAGTACAAGAATGGCACCAAGGTAATAAAAGAAAGGATTTCGAAACAGAAACAATAACAACAGTTTTTTCCTTCTTCACCNGATCCAACAACAAATCTAATGTTGCCTGGCAGACGAGCTGTCCCTTCTCCAAAACTTCCAACGTCCGCATCAACATGCTGGAGAGCTTCGTCAAGTCGCGGAAGCTGCTGGCGCCGGGCAAGGGCGACGTGCCCGAGTACAAGAATGGCACCAAGGTAATAAAAGAAAGGATTTCGAAACAGAAACAATAACAACAGTTTTTTCCTTCTTCACCAGGTAACATTCCACTTCAAGACGGTGGCCATCTTTGATGGCAAAGACCAACAACAACAACAACAGAAGACGACAGATGATCACAACCACAACAATGATCATCACCATCACCATCATGAGCACAAGGACACCGTGGTGGACGACTCAAAGGAGAGCGGCAAGCCGATGGAGCTGTTCATTGGAAAGCAATTCAAACTGCCCCTTTGGGAGGAGTGGATCAAGGACATGCGAGTGGGCGAGCGGTCGCAGATTGACTTTGAGTGGCGCTTTTGCGGGGACGTCTACCCGATGCTCTCCAAGTCGTACCGGAACTTCTGCAAGCCCAGCCTGGAGGCGGAGTACGAGACGGAGGAGACGAGGCGGAAGCGACAGTCCAGTCACTGCTGTGGAGGTAATAAAAAACCTCTCTTCGTTTACCGATTTTAGAACCCTAAGCCCTAAACCCTCACTTTCTAACTCTTTTCAGGCATGCAATCGCAACGCAGCTACGGCTACGACGACCTCGACCACCTGGTGGGGCACCCGCCCACCCGGCTCCAGTTCACCCTGGAACTGCTCACTGTCGAGCCGCCGGAGAAGGTCGACAAGGAGGTGTGGCTGATGGGCGAGGCGGAGATGGTGAAGGAGGTGCCGGCTTTAAAGGCCGAGGGCAATCGCCTCTTCAGCGGGAAGCAGTACGAGCAGGCCGCCTACCGCTATCGCAAGGCGCTGGCCATCCTCGAGCAGCTGATGCAGCGGGAGAAGCCAAATGACACCGAGTGGCTGGAGTACGACCGCCGGAAGGTGCCCCTCCTGCTGAACCTCGCACAGGCGGAACTCCTCCTGGGGGAGTTCTACCACGCGCTGGAGCACGCCGGCGAGGTGGTGGGCAAAGAGCCCGCCAATGTGAAGGCTCTCTTCCGGCGGGGCCGCGCCAATGCCGCCGTGTGGAACGAGGAGGAGGCGAGACGGGACTTTGCGGCGGTGGCCGCCCTCGACCCGAGCCTCGGCCCGCTAGTCAAGGCAGAGCTGGCCGAGCTGGAGGCGAAGCTGAAGGCGAGGGAGGCCAAGGAGAGCCAACTTCTCAAGGGGAAGCTCTTTTCCTCCTCCTGATCCTAGTCAAAGACCTTTTCTTGTTGTTCTATTTTCCATATCTTCTTCTTTCTGTCGTAGTCAGCAACTCACTCTTTTTCTCTCTCTCTCTCTCTCTTTTACTCCGGTGATCTTATCATGCACTTTAATGCGCCNATATCTTCTTCTTTCTGTCGTAGTCAGCAACTCACTCTTTTTCTCTCTCTTTTACCCCAGTGATCTTATCATGCACTTTAATGCGCCTTTACCACTTGTACTGAAACGCTGAAGGGGACTGATAGCAGGAAAGTCTCATAAAGGACTGCTTTTCATTCTCCTCCTTTCAAGTCTGTTGCACTTTTTGCAAACTTCAAATCGGCAGATGTCTTTCGATTTAGGCGATGGTGAAGCGGGGAAATGGAAAGTGCACAGGCTTTCCTCTCCTTGAAAGTGAACGTGAATGAGAGAGGATGTGTGCTGTGTGTGCTGTTGCTAGCGCAACATTGGAGAAGCTTCGCACACAAAATCATACCTGTTTGTGGTCACAAAGGACAGACACTGAACGACAGACAGAAACAGAAACAGAGTGAGTGGACACGAGCAACAGACAGAGGGAGAAAGCAAACACAAACACACCATGTTTCGAAGCAATTGGCGAGGAGCTGAGGTAAAAGATAATCTAAAGATCAAAGTGCTTTGCTTCAACTTTTACATACCGTAATCACANATGTCTTTCGATTTAGGCGATGGTGAAGCGGGGAAATGGAAAGTGCACAGGCTTTCCTCTCCTTGAAAGTGAACGTGAATGAGAGAGGATGTGTGCTGTGTGTGCTGTTGCTAGCGCAACATTGGAGAAGCTTCGCACACAAAATCATACCTGTTTGTGGTCACAAAGGACAGACACTGAACGACAGACAGAAACAGAAACAGAGTGAGTGGACACGAGCAACAGACAGAGGGAGAAAGCAAACACAAACACACCATGTTCCGAAGCAATTGGCGAGGAGCTGAGGTAAAAGATAATGATTTAAAGATCAAAGTGCTTTGCTTCAACTTTTACATACCTTTCTCACTTCACTCCCACGCAGGAATGGGCCGCCGAAGGTCTGCCGATCAAGAGCACCACCTCAAATGAGGCCATCAAACTGTACGACAGTGCTCTGACGCAGGTAAAAAAGCTCTCTTTTTGGGGTTCTTCCTAATCATTCATATTTTTCACGTTTTCAGCTGGTCGGCTGGTACGACCACCCTGCACAGAAAAATGGCCTGGGCGGAACGCTGGCCCGAATGACCGAAGCGGATCCAGGCTTTGGTAAACAAAAAAACCCTTTTGTTTGTTTACATTCAAANGTAAAAAAGCTCTCTTTTTGGGGTTCTTCCTAATCATTCATATTTTTCACGTTTTCAGCTGGTCGGCTGGTACGACCACCCTGCACAGAAGAATGGCCTGGGCGGAACGCTGGCCCGAATGACCGAAGCGGATCCAGGCTTTGGTAAACAAAAAAACCCTTTTGTTTGTTTACATTCAAGCTCAGCTGATTTCCCCATTTTTTCCTAGTCCTCGGCCAAACACTAGCGCTGGCCGCCGAACTGATCGGCACCGGCGTCAGCATTCGCACCGATGCCCGGCTGAAGCAACAGTTGGCCAGCCTGGTGGCTGAAGCAGACAATCGTCGACCGGACCTCGAATGGCGAGAGTGGGCCCACGTCCAAGCCCTGGATCGCTTCGCCCACGGGCAGATGGCCCGGGCAGCGGCCCTCTGGGAGGACATCCTCCTTCGCCATCCCACCGACATGATGGCGTTGAAAGCCGCCCACGACACCTACTTCTACCTGGGGGAGAAGGCGCAGATCAGGGACTCCGTGGCCCGGGTCTACNGACATCCTCCTTCGCCATCCCACCGACATGATGGCGCTGAAAGCCGCCCACGACACCTACTTCTACCTGGGGGAGAAGGCGCAGATCAGGGACTCCGTGGCCCGGGTCTACCCGATCTGGACTGCTTCAAACAGGAGCTCCCTCCCTCTGCGCGAGTACATCCACGGCATGTACGCCTTTGGCCTCGAGGAGACGCAGTTCTACGGCAAGGCCGAACAACAAGCAAAGCTGGGCCTGCAGGCGCAACCGTACGACGCCTGGGCCACCCACGCCCTCGCCCACGTCTACGAGATGGCCACAAAGCCGGTGGAGGGCCTCGGCTTCCTCGGTCGAACCGTGGAGCAGTGGAGCAAGTGCAACCTCCTCGCGACGCACAACTACTGGCACTGGGCGCTCTACCATCTGGAGCTGGATGAACCTGAGGCGGCCGCAGAGCTGCTCGAAAATGAGGTTCTTCGAAGAGCAGGTGGAGAGGGCGGCGGCGGAAGCGGTTCGATGTTGGACCTGGTGGACGCCTCCTCACTGCTCTACCGCCTGGAGCTGCTCCATCCAGGGGCGGGTTTCACCACTCCAGCCCAGGCACAAACGGTCTACCGTCTGGTGGAGCCGCACCTCGCCGACCACATTCTCGGCTTCAATGACGCCCATTTTGCGATGGCCGCCCTGGGCGTGCCTGGGGAAGATGGCAAAGTTGAAACGCTCCTCGAGGGCCTTCGAGAGCTGAAGAACGCTGGCAACGTGGTGAGCGACCACTGGCTAGAGGTGACCGAAACGCTTTTACAAGCGATGCTCGACTTTGCCCGGGAGAAGTACGGCGAGGCCCTCTCCAAGCTGACCTCCATCAAGTACCAGCTGGTGAAGCTGGGCGGCAGTGACGCCCAGCGGGACGTCTTCACGCAGCTGACGGCAGTGGCGGCCATCAAGGCGGGGGCGGCGGACCACTGTCGAGCGCTGCTCTACGAGCGACGGGCTCTCAAGGGCGACGATGTGCTGGCGAGAAGACTGGCCAAAGCAACAGCAACAACAGTGGATTCAAAATAATACCTTCTTTTATTGAATCTTACAAATCGGGTGTTGGTGATTTGGTTAGGTGGAAATCATAGACAACAATAAAAGAGAGGTATGTGTGGTATAAAATGTTGTTCTGGAAGGGAAGTGCTGCCTTCAACCTTGCTCGGGAACTGCAGCCTAGTCGAAGAGACCGAAGCCCATGTCGTCGTCCTCCTCCTCCTCCTCGGACTCCTCCTTCTTCTTCTCCTCCTTCTTGGGCGAGCCACCGGCGGCGGCGGCCGGGGCAGCGGCCACGGCGGCAAACTTCGACGGGTCCTTGACGTACTCCTTGGCGCGGGCGGCCGCCTCAAAGTCAATGTCCGTCTCCAGGGCGACGGCGATCAGGTTCTTCAGGCCGTTGACGATGGAGTGCGGCACCGAGGCCAGTGTCGGATAGCCGATGGACAGCGACACGGCGGCCACGTTGCGCACGCCCTCGAGGAAGCGGGCGCGCAGGTCGTCCGGCGTGATGTCGAGGATCTCCGGCTCGAAGACCGTGCCCGAGTCGTAGACCTGGCGGATCACCAGACCGTAGGTGAACG